CCCAAAACCCCAAAACCCCAAAACCCCAAAACCCCAAAACCCCAACTGTACGGATTAAAGTTGAATTTATTTAATTGGTGAATATGACTAACTTCGAAGGAAGAAGTCATATTTGGAGCAGAATCTATCCAGAAAGGAGGTAGAAATAAATTATTTTGAAAAAATAGTTAGCCAGATTCCTCATTTCTGTAGAAAATATCACTGAGTGTGTAAACCAGGTTCTTTAGAATCTCAGCATTATCGAGGAACTGGATGTGAGCTTTTCGTCCAATCATTGTATCGATGGATCCAGAGCCGATATCAAAGTTCACAGTGATGCGGTGAACACGTCAATCCACCAGCTTCTTGGTAATATTATCTACCAACATCTGGAGCTGAGAGTTTTTCTTACTATTTTCCATTCTTTCTGATTGTTGAATGAGTGAACTCTCAATCGGAGAATATCCATCTTGCGGAGACCCGATGAGGGCAACTATAAAAAGAATTTTTAAAGAAGTTATCATTAAAATAAAATGGATCAAAATAGCTCAAGGAAATATGTGTTTTGCTACGAGTACAACCACCCTCAACAAATTGCTAAGCTCACTGAGAGGCCACTGAAGGAGGTCCTAGAGCACTCTATCCCTTGTAAATTGAAAGGATACAAGCGAGCATTTGGAAGAGGCTCTTATTCAGATAAGAGTTATGCCACCATCGTTGAAGATGAACACTCTGAGATAAAAGCGTATGCAACTGGTCTCAGAGAGGAAGATTATGAGTATATTGATCGTTTCGAAGGCTACCCTGACTTCTATGATAGGATCCTTGCAGAGGTTGAAACCCAAGATGGGCAAAAATTAGAGGTATTTGTTTATAAAATGAACGACGATTCCGAATTTACTCATCCAGCTAATTCTTATCTCTATCAATGTGCTAAAACTAGTGCTGCATATTACTACTTGCAAAACAAGAAGTTTGATTATTCGAAGATTAAAGTTGAGATTATCAAGTCTCACAATGAAGAGCATCTTGAAGATCATGAAGTTGAACTAGAACTTGAGGATTACCCAGAGGAAATCCATCACATTCTTAAAGAATATGCTTAATTATTTTTTAATATTTTAAGCTTACCAGTGTCGAACCACTCGAGACCTTCCATCTTGGACATTTTATAAAGCGTACATTTCTTAATATTGGACTCATCACTGACTGTAATCTCCTTGATAGATGAGCTATTTTTCCACTTCCCAAAGAACCACATGCCTGCTGTTAGCAATCTGCTGTTAGTTGTAAGGTAACCAATATGAGGTGTTGCAAGTGTCACAAAGGAGCTAAAGTTGTCTTTGTACCTACTCAACATTGGTAAAGCAGCTCTGAATAAGAGCCCTCCCATAGAATAGCCTACAAAGGATATCCTGTCGATGTTATAGTCTTTAAAGTACTTCCTTCATACCTTATTTGATTTCTTTAGCAACTATTTCGCCTAGGGCAAAGAGCTTTTCTTCTGAGTTTTCTCTATAAAAATTAAATGAGACTGGTACCGATCTTTAAGACATGAATGAACCTTTGCAGTAGGATCATTCTCCATAATAGCTGCTTTGAGGTACTTTAAATCATCATAATGTCCGCTGTAGCCATGGCAGAGGAAGATTAAATGCCTTCTGTCATTCAGGATGCTTGCGTCTTGATAGGAACTATTGATAGACTTCCTCTCTTCCATATTAGGTACTTTAAATAATCCCTTTTGGTCAATGTCTGGCTCATAAGTCTCTTGGAACATTACCGCTTCGTTGGAGTTCTTGTAGAATTCTTTTGGGAATCACAAGCCCCTAGAAGTTTCTTTAGAGAGATAGACTGCAAAGTCCTCTCTGAGATATTTAGCCTTATTTAGAAAACCCTTTAAGGTCACTATTGGTCAACTTTCTAGTCAAAAGCTGCTGGATCTTCCTGGTCCTCCTCATTTTCAGCATTCTACCGTAATGTTTGATATTTTTATGCAGTAAGAGATCCAATGTGCCTTCAATGTTGTGTCTGAGGAAGCTACAGTACACCTCCCAAAATTTCTGGAGCTGGGAAGAGATATTTTCAAACTCCTTAACGACCTTTTCAAATATCTCCTGCTTAGACAGAGATAAGCAAGTAGTATCCCTCGGCTCAATAAGTTCCTCTAGGATGGACTCATTGAAGTTCTCTAAAGATTACCAGCTAATTTACCTGATTCAGAGTAAGCTTTGAGTTTCTTCGAAGAGAGTTTTCCAAACTTCTCTTTCACAATAGTATTTGTCTTGGGCTTAATGTGCAGAAACCCACTAATTTTAGACTTGAGCAAGCTATGGCTAGTCCCAGAGGTCTCATCTTCATCGCTGCTGGGGCTATCACTCTCGAAGAACTGGTCGTAATCAACTAGGTATCTTGGAGGCAACTTTTGATCCTTCTTTCTAGACTTGGCCTTCAGCTTAGCTAGTTTATTCCTTTTATAAACTTCTTTATAGCTATCTCTGAGCTTGTTGAATTGATCGATCAACAACCCTCAGTACTTGTTGACCACCTTTTTAGTCTGATCATAGTTCAGAGACTTCTTCTTCCTGAAATTTGAGAAGAGGTAGCTCTCGAGGGAGTACTGCTTCATGGAAAGATCTATATCAGATAGTTGGTCTTCGAGTTCACCCTTATTCATTTTCTTGATTTCTTTTCAAGCCTTTTTCGGACCTACATAAGAGGATAAGCCACTGAGTTACTTGTGAGTTTGAGTTCAAGGATACATCAGTGGATGGAACTCTCCAGAGCTCATGCAAATGGGGGTTCAAAATCTATCTGTAAATATTTGTATGCTCCTAGCAATGCATCTATTGGTCATGTTCCAGGACTCACCTCCAATTTTGAATTCTTGTAGGTCCACCTGCTTGAAATTATTTGTAAAATGTATCACTAGAGGTCTAAACTCTGGGTGACTCACCTGATCAGGTAGCACTCCATTGGGGTATGAAACAATTTTGCTCGACAGTAGATCGGAAGTTTAAGATCACCAATTCTTCTGTAATAATTCATTGGTAAGAATATTTTATGCTTTAGTTTGAGCTATATTTGTCACAGCCAAATAGTAGGAGAGAGAATACCTGATTCATTGTGTTATATATCTTCTCCCTTTCATAGCTGATCACGAAGAAGTCAGTGCAGTATTGGTACGGATCTGAGCTGTTCATTGAGTAATTCACGAAGGAATCATTATCATCTATTATAAACTCAGCATATGTCCTGATGTCAGCTTCGTCTTTTGAGTCCCTAAAATTCATGTAAGTTATAAATCTGGGATTTGAGCAGAAGTTATGTGCGCAAATGTATTGGACACAGAAGGCTTTATTTAAGAAAAGTTCTTCAAATTCGTTAAAAGAATTGGTTTTAATTAAACTGTTTATAGATTTTAAGGGGACAATCAGCTTACTCGAAACACCACTCTTGTTCAGTATAAATTTCAAATTGAATGTAGTAATATCCTTGAGAGAGTAAGTCAACGTTTCTGAAAATGCCCAGGTTAAAGGCCATTTCCATTGTAGCTTGAATCATTATTTAATAAATTTAGTTTGAAAGTTTTGATGGGGTTTTGGGGTTTTGGGGTTTTGGGGTTTTGGGG